TTTGGCCGCCAGAGATTTCTTTTGCCACTTGTAAGTTCGCCGTACAACAGTTGTTTAGGCCAACCTATCTCAGTTGGGCTTTGACAAACATGCTTTGTATGCTTTGTTAGCTTGATTGGTTGAGGACCTCAATGTTAGTGGTGCGGTCTTGACAACGTATGCCAAGTATGCTGCGGAGAGCCCTTTGGTGGAACTTCTCTAATTTGTTGATGTGCGTCCTATAGAGTGCCCAGGTCTCGGAACCGTAGAGTATAACTGCTTTACTAGTAACTACTCGTAGCTTAGTTTTATCAAGACTCGACTTGTAACTCCTTGTTATTAGGAATATTACTGGAGAAAATTTAAAGACTTCAAACTGTCCCAAAAAATGCTGCTCGTTTCGTTAGGGAAAAGAAAGCGAGACTCTACTAAACCTCTTTTACGAACATTACATTGGCTTCCTGTTGAGAAAAGAGTTGTGTACCAGTTGGCCACCTGATCTCACAAATGATTCAATGATAATGCACCATCATATTTATCAAATCTGTTGAGACTGTACATTCCAACTTGCAGCTGACAAAATGAAATTTCTTTTACCATCTATGAAACTTAAAACAATGGGTGAAAGGGCATGTGGATATCAAGGCCCCAAGATCTGGAATGCTTTTAAAAGAGATCAAATCTTTTGATTCATTTAAATGTCAGCTGAAGTCATTTCTGTTTTTGAATTAATAAGATGAGTATTTGGAGTGATTTTCTTTTAGTCAGAGCACAACGATGTATGTTACTGTTGTATAATGTATTGTATTGTAAGGCGCTCAAAGCCTGTGTACTTTAATCGGGGTTGAGCGCTATGTCATTATTATTATTGCCTTATGTGGGACATAGTGGTGTAACCAGGCGCTCGTCAAAGTAGTGATGTAATCGAAGAAACCGACATCTTTCTCCTTGTTGGGCTATTTTTATCGATTTATTTCAGGGTGACCGGGGTGGGGGGGGGGGTCAACACCTTTTATGTTCATTTAAAAAGACATTTCTGCGTGGGTTTTACTGAAACAAAACGTTGATCAAAAGCACAAAAAAGAGAACACTCAAGTGTTAGAAGTGATCAAACTTTAATGGCGATTTTCTCGCTAATTTTGACCTCTGACACCGATCGACACCTACCTCCTTCAATTGCAAATATTTTAAGTTTTATACAAGGTGGAGAGACATTTTTAAGTCAGAAGCAAGACAAGCAAACAAGCTTTAAGATGATACCAAAAACTCTAGATGCCCAACAATTGACGAGCGCCAGATTCCACTGTGTCTATACACTTATTTTGCCTGAGCCTCCGGTATCATATCTGATCTGACTCTTTCTTACATTATTATCTTGATACACGTATCTCGTTTTACTTACATCATGTCACCCTCCCAGATTTATTTATCCTTGCGCAAAACTCATGGCAAATCATTCTGTTCTTTGTTTACTTCAGGAAAATTCTCATACCCACTCCTAACACTAGTGGGAATATCGTCTCTATCTCTCGACCGAGTCGATGTAGAGCCCTATGAAAAAGTCGCCTTCAGTTGCTCTATTCAACATAGCTTTGGCCCAGTGAAATATACCCTTGACTACGGTGATGGCGGAAATATCGACGGAACCGTTCATGAAGCGACATCGTTATCTTTCGGCCACAAATATACCAAGCAAGGCGAGTATACTGTCGATTTTACAACCGTCTCGGGAACAGACATGATAGTGGAGCGTGTGATTTATCATACCACTGTGTTTGTGGACTTCCCAGTTGCCAACCTGATCGTTACAGTAAACGAAACGGTTATTCAACAACCACCAGGCGTTGTTTTTCTAACAATTGGCATAGACGTGATGGGAAAGACTATCAAGGCAATGGAGTGTGCAATTGACTACGGAGACGAATACGACAAGAAAATACATTATAACCGTTTGCGGCTAAAGCCTGGGGTTTCTCAAATGTTCACGTACATGTACACATCGTTGGGACTCCACAATATCTCAGTCAACTGCTCCAACAGGTTAGGTTCTCAAGTGGTCCAGGTTTCATGCACAACTGTACATCCCAATTTTGTTAAAGAGGGCATCTTCACCCTCGAGTACGCCGACCCAAACTCCCCGATGGTCGTGATGGCGTCGAACCAGATCGAAATTACCAGCAGACCCGCCGTTCAGTACCATTGGCGCAACGTCACATTCTTGTGGGCGATGCGAGAGCTGGAAGAGACACGTCACACGTTTATTGGGAACAAAGAGACTCAGATTGTACAGCCAAACAAAGACTTGCTTGTTCTGAAGGCGGGCACTTTCTTTCCGGGTCTTTATCAAGTGACCCTCAACATTTCTCTCGTCACCAACAACAAAGCCACCTGGCTATTCGGCCGCACATACATCCTAATCATCGGATTGGAAACAGTGGTGAAGTTCAGGCGTGGTCTTTTCACAACGACAGGTGGGTGGGTTTTTAAAAAATTCTTTGCTGACACCATCCTCATCATCATCACCATCTTGCCTTGTGTCATCAAAAATCCTGTACACCAAGATAGTACACTCAACGAAAAAGTGTCCGTGTTCACACTAATTCTCAGGTGGCAGTACTGTCGTTATTTTGGAGCTTCTTTCGTTTCTCGAGAAGAAAATTAGTTCATTCTTTAGTTTTTAAAAAACGTTCGATTCCCACGTAGGGAGAATTTTTATCGAGTGTCTCTGTTTTTCTGCGGAAACGTTGTGTCTCCCTCAGTCCGGGTTAACACTAGCAGACAGGGTCGAAGCCTTTTTTCCTTATTGATCTAAATTGTGTCCATGGGGTGTAAATTTCCTTTTTTTTTTAAATAGTAGATGATTTTACGGCGCTCGCAACTGCATAAGGTCATCGCCAAGGGGTGGGTGTCAACAGAGAAGTCTTTACGGGGAATCAGACTTAGACTGCCCACCTCTCTAGCTTCAACAGCACAACGTCTGCTTCGACTATCAAGGCACACCAAAATTGCAGGTCACAAGAGAGTGACAAACATACAAAAGAAGAAGAGGAAAATGACAATAGTAAGGATCAGGGAAAAAAAAGCAGCAGTTCCCTGTTGTAGATCAGGCACAGTTATGAGCGTGTAATGAATCAGCCCATTTACAATTCTACTGTGCATAAGAACGAGAAATGTCCCCCCTTTTGGGAAAGGCCTAAAGACACTACAGTAAGTGACACTGCCCCGGTAAATTTCCTGCATTAACCCTTCCATCTCCATGTGCGTATATTTTCAGCAGCGCTTGTACCTCCCACCCTCCCAACAGCGTATATTCTCAGTTTCGGGGGGTACCGAATTTGAGCATTTTCCGAATTTAATGAACCTAATTTAATGTTAATTGTCTATGTCATAATATTTGTTCATGTGATTTACCTTTAAAACATTGTTCGATGTTATTATCTAAACTTCTTTACAAAGATACTATATCACTTTTTAGAATGCATGCCTCTTTTTCTGAAATACTGCTGTATTGGCTGGGACTGAGATTGGGGGTACACAAAAAATGGCTGGGGCTGGAAGGGTAAAAAAAAAAAAGAAGAGAATAAATCCAAAGGAAGGCACTATTTTTACTTCATTAGCCGTTAAGGGTTGTTTTGGTAGGCGTCTCTGGTTCGTAGACGTATTGTGGCCATTCTGTATTTCTCTTCAATCTTGTTAATTAATCAATAATATTGGCCTCATTGGCCATAGCAAACAGCTAATAATCTTAGTCTTTTTTAAATTAAAAAAAAAATTTCTCTTTAAGAAATATTCTCATCTGCAGTTACACTGATCATCGTCATGCTTGCCGGACGAACTGCTGTTGTTATTGTTATTATTGCGGTATTTCGTGTTGTTATTGTTGTGTATAATATATGTAATATATA